CAAATAGACAAGCAAATGTACAGAACTTGTAAGCGCGAATGACAAAGGGTAAGACAGATCGATGAGATCAGATGAAGAAAAAATAGGTATGAAAAGAGGAAAAACGAAAGGGGGAAGGGAGATGGGGATGGGGGTGGGGGTGGGGGTGGAGGGGGGTCCTCTTATCGGCGGGCAAATGTTCTCCCAATAACACAACGTATTCGCGGAAGTAACAGAGCTCTCCCGGTGAACCCCCTCCTCCCCCTTCCCCCCAACCACCAAGCTCCAACCCCTCCCTCCCTTCCTCCTCCTCCTCCCCTCTCCAACCCCTCCCTCCCTCTCCTCTCCTCTCCTCTCCAACCCCTCCCCTCCTCCTCCTCTTCACCCCCTTCCATCCCTCACGCACACAAAACGCACACAACTCACCCCAAACATGTTATTTACAATACTTTGTTTTTGTTTGTTATTTTCCTTATTGTTCTTCTCTCAACAAAAAAAAAAACTATACACCATAAACAAACACACAAAAGTAAAAGACAAACCCCCTCCCCCTACCCACCTACCCCCAACCCCCCAAAAAAAAGATAGAACAAGCAAGCAATCAAAAAACAATCTGCATTTTGAAACGTTACGCCTGCCTTACAAAACAACGCAACAACAAAAAACAGTAAAAAAAAAGAAAAAAAAAGTAAAAAAATATTAGCAGAACAAGGCCAAAGTTGTTCTGCGATAAGATGACAAGTGTTCGCCAAGGTCCCCCAAGATACGCATCTGTTTCGTGTGTCGAAGCCAAGGACAGGAGACGGTACGAACAGAAGCGAGACGAAGGGAGAGATGGGAAGAGAAGAGAGAAAGGAAAGGGAAAGGAGAGAGAGAAATGAAAAGGGAGAGAAGAGATGGTACGAACAGAAGCGATGCGAAGAGAGAGAGAGATGGAAGAGAAGAAAGGAGAGGGAAGGAGAGCGAGAATGAAAAGGAGAGAGAGATGGTACGAACAGAAGCGATACGAAGGGAGATGAGAAGAGAAAAGAGAAGAAAGACAAAAAAGAGAAAAAATGGGGAGGAAGAGAAAAACAAACCAGAAAATAAATCGGAAGAAGGGAAGAAAGAAGAGCCAAGAAAAGGAGAGACAGGAAAATGAAATAAGAGAAATAAGAAATGAAAGGAGGAAGCGTGACAAGAAAACAAAAAAGAGAATATATGAAAATACAAGAAAGTCGAAAGTAAATTAAAGAGGAAAATAGAAGAGCAAGAGAAAGAAAGACAGAAAGGAGAGAAGAGAAAAAAGAAAATGGAGACAAGATAAGATAGCGAAACCGAGGAAAAGGAAGTAAAAACGCTAAGGTGATGAAAATTAAATCCAACTTTTGATTGGATTCCTACGAAAAATTCTATTGCTCGACGGGGGGGGGGATAGAAGGAAGAAGGAAGGAAGAGGGGGAAGGGAGAGAGAGGATGGAGAGAGAGGAGAGAGGGAGGGAGGAGGGAGGAGAGAGAGAGGAGAGAGATGAGACGAGAGAGGAGGAGGGAGGAAGAGAAAGAGACGGAGGGAGGGAGGAGAGGATGGAAGAAGACGAGGGAGGGAGAGGGAGGGAGGGAGGAGGGAGAGGGAGGGAGAGGAAGAGGGAGAGAGAGAGAGAAGAGAGAGAGAGAGAGAGAGAGAGAGAGAGAGAGAGAGAGAGAGAGAGACGAAGAGAGAGCATAGAGGAGGAGAGATGAGAAGAGAGAGAGAGGAGAAGAGAGAAAGGAGAGGAGAACAGAGAGAGAGAGATAGAGAGGAGAGACGAAAGACGAGAGAGAGAGAGAAGAAGAGAGATGAGAGAGAGAGAGAGAGAGAGAGAGATGAGACCGAGAAGAGAGCAGAAGAGAGGAGGAGAGAGAGAGAGAGAGAGCAGAGAGAGACAGAGAGACAGAGAGAGAGGACAGGACAGCAGAAGAGAGAGCGAGACAGACAGAGAAAGAGAGAGCGAGACAGACAGAGAGAGAGAGCGAGAACAGACAGAGAAAGAGAGAGCGAGACAGACAGCAGAAAGAGAGGCAGAGACCAGGACAGCAGACGAGGAGAGAGAAGACAGACAGAGAGAGAGAAGAGGGAGAGATGAAACGCTAATACATCTACTTATCGACATCTTATCTACCCGTCATCTGATTATCTATCCAACACTACTCTACTGACCCAATTATTTATCTATCTATCTATCGAATCAATCTATCAATGTACCGGCCTACTTATCTACTGACCCAATATATCCAGATTTAACTATTCTGTGTCTATCGCATTCTATCTATCCTTTCAAATAAAAAAATTTTTACGTATTTGCCAAAAAAAAAATATATTACAATTTCAGGCGCGGCTTAATCCAAAAACTGCAACGGAGAATTAAAGAGGGAAAAAGTATATTCATTTTTTTTTCTTCCCAGGAAAAAAGGAAACTTACGGTTTAAATACTGTCCGATCCGCAGTTAGATAGTAAGAATAATTTCTAAACATTGATGTCGGAAGGAGAGGAGAGGAGAGAAGAGGGAGGGAGGGAGGAGGAGGAAGGAGGGGAGGGAGAGGGAGAGAGGAGAGGAGAGGAGGGGATAGAGATGAGAGACA